AGTCCTCACAAAAAGCGCCAGCAGATAGGACCTTGTTTGTACTCTCACAGAAAACGACAGATATATCTCATCGTCTAAGATGGAGGGATTTAACATTCTCACGGCCGAGTGGTCTAGTGGTATGATTCTCGCTTTGGGTGCGAGAGGTCCCGGTTTCGATCACCGGCTCGGCCCTACGTTTTGCATGTACTTCCTTCTTCAACACAGTGCGTACGCCGTCGCCTATAGTTTAGCGCTTCAACGTAACAGAAGAATAGCTAGCATTTTGAAATTTGAAGTGGAACTCTCACAAAAGCCAGCAGATACGTCCTTGTTTGCATATTGCGTTAGGAAGAATTGTAAGATTTGCTTTCGAATCAAGAAATTAAACTTTCTAAGCTTTTTGCGAACAGTGTTCTCACAAAAGACGAGAGATTTATCTCATCGTCTAAGATGAAGGGATTTAACATTCTCACGGCCGAGTGGTCTAGTGGTATGATTCTCGCTTTGGGTGCGAGAGGTCCCGGTTTCGATCACCGGCTCGGCCCTACGTTTTGCATGTACTTCCTTCTTCAACACAGTGCGTACGCCGTCGCCTATAGTTTAGCGCTTCAACGTAACAGAAGAATAGCTAGCATTTTGAATTTTGAAGTGGAGCCCTCACAAAAGCCAGCAGATAGGTCCTTGTTTGTATTTTGCGTTAGGAAGAACTGTAAGATTTGCTTTCGAATCAAGAAATTTAACCAGGCCATAACAACTCGGCCATAACAATAGGACAGATTTTGTATTTTAGTGATAAAACGCATTTCACGAAATGTTAAAAGTAAATAGTAGTTTGAATCTCTTAATCCAGAAAACAAACCTTCACCCAGGTAACTTCTGAATATCACAATAGTTTGAACTTTCGCCAGTCGTGTACTCTCGGTCACATATGGTCATGCACTTGTGCACACAATTCCTAACCTCCTTACTTCTTCATCACTTCGATAAGGTGGATTAGCGGCACCAGCCATCAATCGCAGCGAGGAACAACAATTGCCTAATCGCTCACGATTACGGTAGTGCGCGAAGCAATGTGGTGACAGCTCGTGTTTTACGCTCCCCCACAGCAATTCGGCTTTCCACCAAAGTCTTCCGACTAGCTGTTTAGGAATTCTATACAAGCGAAAAACACCCTTTATGAAGTTTTTCTGAAAAGGTGAAAGACGAGCTTCTGCTTTGTAGTGATAGTCATATTACCGCAAAGCCACACATTAGTGCATATTTATGAGGATTTGACGCACTTTTAAGAATTCCTCCTTTTGTTGTGTCATCGTAAGCACCTGAGCAAAAATTGCGAATAAAGGATATTTTTTGAAAGAAGGATCTAGCAGTTTTTATTGGTGTTTATTCTGATAGAATCATTATATAGAGATGGTTTTTTTGGAAAAAAAACCAGCCAGCAAATATGTGGTGCTAGAGACCTCTACAATATCTGGAAGATGCGAAGACTACACAAGCAATTTTTGCTGCGAGCTCAAGCAAACGAGAAATCTCCATCGACTATGATATTCACTGAAGAGGCCATCATCAATTAAAGAAAACCATGTTTTGCTACAACTTACTGGTTGCACCAAAAATTTGAAGAGAGGCTACTAATACTCAACAGAAACTTTTTATACAATGACGCTTGATATACGAATATTGATTAGACCATTTCATTTCAGTTCGAATATCCTCAACCTCTACCAGAGTACAATGGAGAAAACAGTAATGGATCCGATGAGGGAAGTCAACCGGTGAGTTTCAAAAAAAGGTTTTAATCCTCGGAATCAATTTCTCCTCCAATATGTACTTGCATTGTAATTCATTTTCGCTAGACAAGGTAATCATGAAAGCAAAATTGCGACAATTTCTGATACTAGTTCCGAAGCAATTTTTCATATCGTCCAAAATAAAAGACATCATCAATGACACATGTTATATATACCTAAAGTATTCAAGTATTAACGTATCTACATTATAGAAATTCAAGTTTATGATGTGAGCTTTTCGGTGAGCTATAACAACTCTTGCCTCCTCTAGTCACTTTGTGAGACTCGAGTTCTTGTTTACGACTTTTCCAAATTCTTGGGATCTTGCGCGGAGAGTAATCAATTTGCTAGCAGTCTATTTTTTAGTCATCGAGAAAATTTTTTAGCCCTGTGGTACACTTATTTTAGGAAAAATCAAACGTCTTTTAGAATCAAAAAAACATGCATCGTTGAGAGAAATAATTAACACTGAAATCTTGGAGTGAGAGCGAAGGATATGTTTTATTTATTTTTTGATCATCTGGAGAGGAGCGTGATTTGGATTCATTGATGAATCCAGGTTTGAAAAAAGGACTAAATCCTCTGCATGACTGGCTGATTGAATGATTGAAAAAATTATTTTCAGTGCCTGCTCTTCCATCTGCCACAACTATGATGGTTTATCGTGGCTAACTCCCCGGCTGTCAACAACTGACTCCATGGACACAACAATACGATCATGCGTGGTACGGTTACGGTCAACAAGATCCGTATTGCCACACTACTTCTATCAGCCGGAGATGGTCCACTACGAGGAGTGGCCACAAATATACCAAAATAATGATGCTGTATATCCCGCAAATGCCAGCGTGCCAGAAAATTAATATGGAATTGTGTGTTTGCAACAGAGAACGCTTGTGTTATGCTCATTTATTCATATGTGTGTAGATGATTGAATCTAAGCTGAAACTTCGTTTTCGTGATATTACAATTTATAGTCACAATATTTTGTTCTTCATTTACAAGCAGTCACTTTGGCAGGAAGATTTTGTAATCACATTGATACACAGTGCTTTATAAGGCCATAAAGATGCCAAAATTAGACAAAATAAGTCTACCTAAGTGTTGCAGTTGCCAAAGAAAAGTCAGCTCTCTCGACTGACACGTCATAGTACTATCCAGCTTTGAAGATTGTGAAAATTGTTGGGTTGGCACGAAATTCTCGCATGATTCTTACGGATTTTTGCTTCTTCTCATCGCAACCATTTGCATGATATAAATTTTATCCAGCATGAGAAACGATTTTATGTGCATTATGATGACTGCCTTTCTACTAGGCAGAGTACATCAAAGCTGAGGAGGAAAATTACTTGTAGTGTAATAAGTTCTGTCCCAAAATTTCTTTTGAGTTTTTCTCAATATTTTGCACGGTGTTTCGCAAAATGTCTATATACAGTCAAAAGCTCTGAACCTGCTCTACCAGAATATTTATATCAGCTTCCTAAATCAGGATAATTGGAAAAGTTTTCCAGCACTGAATTTGGAAAATCAAGGAGGAAAAAATCCATTTATTACAATTACATCACGTCCCCCCAAATAAGTCGAAATGAGTACGAAACAGCTCGAAAAATCTGCTGCGCGTAAGGAACGAATGCTTTCTGCAACGCTTCAGGAGCGTTAAAAAGTTTTGAAAATTACTTCTGTAAAATTCAAAAAATTCTTTTTTTTTCAACGTTTCTTGAACGTTGACTGCGCACCTGAAGGCGGTCCTGAGAGATTACGGTAGACTCATAGTCCAGAGAAGACAGATTGGATGGTTTATGGTCACAAAATCACCAAATTCATAGGTTAGTCACTCAGGAATTCAAAGTTTGGGGGTCACATAGCTTAAGTACGTGAGAAGACGAACATCGCCGCGACAAAGCCTTGCTTCCTCGGCTTTTGAAGAAATGACATCAAAAAGTCGGTAGAAGGAAAGGAGCAAGCACAAACGGTGACCAAACATAAGAGTCTAATAGGTTGTTTTGTTTGTTGTCAAGTTTGTCGAATAAATTTTATGATGGAAAACGAAAAAATTTGGAGAGAAAAAGATGTTTAATATGAATTTTCCGCCTCTCCGGGTTTTTTTGTTTTCCAAAAAATCTTTTTCAGTTTTTGATAACTTAGGGATGACACTATGAATCGTAGAGCAAACTTAGAACTTTCAAATGCATACTTACTTTACTTTTAATAAAGTTAGTATTGTTGAGAAAAAACTGAAACAAAAAATGGGACAGAACATATTACACAACCTGACAAATTTCTCAAGATTGGCCTAAAATCGCGTGAAGTATGCCGGCTCTTTATTGCTGAAGCATTTAAACTGAAGAAACTCTCATTCTGTTCACTGTTGCGCAACATTCAAAACCTTTTTTCTCAAAGCAATACACTGGGAGTTATTCAATTTGCCAATATCGAGTGCGGTAAGCGTTTTGAGGGAAACCACTTTCGAGTCTTTGGTAGGGCAAATTTGGCGTGAAATAAGTATCGCCTTCTTGACAAGGAGGCGGACCTACCTCCGCACAAATTCCCGTCCAGTCGGCCAAAATGGTCGGCTTGCACAAAATTCAAAAATTTGTGCAAATTGCAGTAAGTCTGACCGAGTAGGCGGAGCTTTCCCACTACTTTGTCATATATACAAGTGACGGACCGAGGGGAGGAGACGGCCCCTCCTCTCCCCCCCCCTCGCTCCCCCAAATGGCTCGCGAAATTTTTGAAATTTACTTACTTGGGTCATAAAAATGTGCAACTGACTGATTATTTTTGGAAACAATTAAAATAATTTTTAAATTTTTCAAAAACTCAGATTAGCATCAAAAAAAAATTTTTTATGGGCGTGGCTTACGCCACGAACCCTTTTGGCAGTTTTTAAGGGTCCGCAAAAATTTTGAGAAGCACTCCTAAAAATTTTTTCGCAATGCGTCGCTGACGCAACGCACCTTCGCTTGAAAAAATTACTTGCCGTTCCCCCCCCCCCCCGGACGGAAATCCTGGGACCGCCACTGATATTTACACATGCTAAATGCATTATACATGCAACTATACATACGAATGCGCAGTAAAAACGTCTGATTTTAGGAAACAGACGTGCAAAAAAAAGTCATTAAAGTTTCAAAGTTCCGCGTCGCAATTCAAATCATCAATAATTATCGCTTTTCTCAAGATCGAAAACTTTTATCTTGCGAACTTTTTGTTCCATTGCATCATTTATACCGTCTCGAAAACATATCAATCGCATTCAGAAAACATGAATACCTTCACCCTATTCGTTCTGTTACTGCTTTCCGCAGAAGTAAAAGTGAACAAAGTTGTAAATGCAGTTCGCAATTGTTATAAAGACTGGAGCCGCTGCACACCAGGGACAAATGTAAGTATCCTTTGCATAGGCTAAAGAGTATTTTAATTTTCGCTTGATCTAAAAGAGAATGAATTGCAAATTTTGTGTAGAAAATAGAGGAAAATAGTTTTGTTTCAGTTGCTTACCGGAATTGCTTGGAAAACCTGCCCTGAATTCTGTAGAAAATGTAAGGGAAGAGCAAGCGGACGTTGCGAAAAAACAAAAATGACTATTTGTGGCGGCGGATACTTTTGCAAGTAAGCTCTTAAACTCAAGAATGCAACAATTTTATTTTCTTACAGTTGCATTGGAGGGTCATATCCCAAAGCGACAGATAAGAAAACTGTTCTTGAGTGCAAGCACGGACTATGACTCAAACTTACTTCTGCATAAAACATAGCAGTGCTGGAATTTCATAATAAGCACACGATTCTGAATAAAGCCTTATGAAAGCAAGCAAGTGGACTTTCATACTCTCCAATAGCCTAAACAGGTACATTACAATACACAGTATGTTACATAAATGTCCCAGCTGTTTGATGGTTGATTCTCTCTCGTCCTAAAATCTTCCGCTTTCATTTAATTACCAGTTTGCTAGAATGATGAAGCATGAATCGATCACACTTTGATACTGTAGTTTTACTGGAGGGACATTCACCATAATGCCGTTCTACATTGATTGCAAGTTCAGAAATCTCTAGAAAAAAATTGACTTCGTTAAAGAATACTTAAAATCCCAGCAAATACCTTTTTGCAACTTTTTATAAAGCAGTACAGGTTTTCGATGAATTTTGGGATTGTCAGTAACAGTGGCGGTCCCAGGATATCGGACCGGGGGGAGGGGACACAAAAGGCTTTTCAAAAGAAATTGTGTGGCGTTAGCCACGCACTCCGAAGAATTTTTGGTGCTTTTCAAAATTTTGGTGGGCTCATAACCCCTAAAATCGAAACATTTTTAACAAGACTAGTTTGAATTTTTGAAAATTTTTGAAAATTATTTGCAACTAGCTGGCTTACCCGGCTCCGCCCGGCCCTGTCAGTTCTATGATTAAGGGTCTTATCCCTATCACTATAGAACCTTTCATTGTGCCCACTTCTACATGCAATTCCCTATTCCCGCTGTGTTAGTAATTAGCATGCCCACCCACTCCCTCAACAACCCCCAGCCCCGTAGCTCAAACTTGGCAAAAAAAGCAATAAAACCGGTAAAAGAAAGGACAATTCTGAAAACTGTTGACCCTATTCGGCTATCCGGCCCCAAAATGTTTTTGTGATGGATCTTGCTCAAAGTCGGTACATGGAGATTATTAAAGCCGCTGATAACGAATATCGTAGTCATTTCGCGCGATATAGCGCCATTTTCTGGGTTTACGTTAGGCACACATAAGAAGCTAAAACCATGGATTTCGCTGAAACTATGAGGGGGAGGGGTGCTATGACATGCTGATTACGAATATCATTTTCCTTCGGCATTTTGAGGCAATTTCACTGAGTTATGGTAGGTATACCGCAGAGGGGCGAAATCTCAGTTTTGGCTGAAACTCGGTCTAGAGAGATTCGACCTTCTGACCACGTCTAAAACACTCTCGCTGCGTTAAACCTTTTCGCAAAGTTACGATAGGTACATGGCAGCGGGTAAAAATCATGAACCTGCCTGAAACCTTGGCAGAAAATCACCTAAAGTGCTATTTTAAGAATATCGTGCTCAATCCCTACGACAAAGGCAATTCCTTGGTATAAAAGTTTCCCACGACCGTAGTGCTTTCCCTTATAGGACCACTGCCGTTCGCGAGACACCCTTCGGCGGCTTTTGCCTAAGCAAAAACAGGGGAGGGAGATTTGCCGCGGGCGTTACACAATGGGACAGGTTATCAGTTTCCTTATAGGACCACTGCTGCGCGCGATACACCCTTCGGCGGCTTTTGCCTAAGCAAAAACAGGGGGAGGGAGATTTGCCGCGTGTGTTACGCGTTGGGACGGGTTATCAGGATGGCGCTGGAGATCGCCATGCAAAACGACCGTTTCCCCGTCTCTTGAATATCTGGGATCTAAATTGGCCCGAAAGCGAAAAAATGTCCATTGAAACCCTGCAACTCAACATAACTTCACTACTGCGTTATGACAGCGAGCAAGCATCATATTCATAAGCGATATACTTGTGAACCGTTACAGGTAAGGTTTTGAGCAAATCTGGAACTTCGACCCATCTACACCCACCGTAACCCAAGAAAATGCAGCATCCTGCGAAATCAACATGATATTTATGTTCAGCGAGCTAAATGACCACCCTAGACGAAATTAAAGCAAATATATGTTTTCGACTTCATGCTATATAACCACCACAACTCTATGAAAGGGTCCCAATATGCAGAGAGAGATGATATTCGTAATTAGCATGTCGAATAAGCCATATGGACCGTACTTCAGTCGAATTCATGATTTTGACTTCCTACCGTACACTTATCGTAACCACACGGGAAGACGTTCTGCGGAGAAAGTGTGATATCTGTAATCAGCATGTAAAGGGCCGGGCATACTTCATGCGATTTCAGTCCCGATGCGATTTGGCAATTCGCCAGAAGTCTTCGGATCCAACTTAGGAAACTGCACATGCATAGTGTGTATAACTTACGTAAACTGATGAAATGCCCTATCTTCTCTACATTTATAATACGCTTACAATGAGTTATGGACACCTGGAATATTGCCAAATCGCGTAGCGATTGAAATCGCTTGAAGTATGCCCGGCCATTAAGATAACCCTTATACACGAAGTTTGAGCAAGCTCTACCACAAAGGATTTTGGTGCCCGGATAGCCGAATAACGCCAAACTAATATCAAACTCGTAATCAGCATGCTTGATTACCACTGTGCAAACTCTCAGCCCCGTAGCTCAAACTTTGCAAAACATTCGATAAAATCGATAAAAATAATGGACGATTTCAAAAGCTAATATTGTATTCGAACTCCCCATGCTCGATTACCCCCTGTGCAAACTCCCAGCCCCGTAGCTCAAACTTTGCAAAAAATCGATAAAATCGATATCGATCGATGACGAAAAGTAGCCTATGACACCCGCCGGGGCCCGAAGTGTATGTGTGCCAAGTTTGGTCCCGATCGGTTCAGAAATGGAATTTTCTATTCGGAACATACGTACATACAGACATACAGACATACATTCAGACATACATACAAACAGACATTCAGCTTTATATATAAGATTATTTTACATGGCACAACTCCCGAAGAAAGGTTCATGGTAAAGCGCAATGTTTTAATCATCGGCACCAGACCAGAAGCACAATTTCCAGTTTTTTGAATTTCTGGCTGAACATAGTCTCAAGAGAGCAAAGCTTACCAAAGTTCTCACCGTCTAAAGTAACGAGAAAGCTTGATTTGAACACTGCTAGGGAAGAGAGATATCAAAGTTCGAACAGTGTCGGCTGTGAGAATGTTAAATCTCTTCATCTTAGACGATGAGATAAATCTCTCGTTTTCTGTGAGAACACTGTTCGCAAAACATAGGGCCGAGCCGGTGATCGAAACCGGGACCTCTCGCACCCAAAGCGAGAATCATACCACTAGACCACTCGGCCGTGAGAATGTTAAATGTGTGTTAATCCAGAATGTTAATCCATAAGAATCATGCGAGAATTTCGTGCCAACCCAACAATTTTCACAATCTGTAAAGCTGGATAGTAGCATGACGTGTCAGTCGAGAGAGCTGACTTCTCTTTGGCAACTGCAATATTCACTTAAATTTATTTTATCTAAATTTGGCATATTTATGGCCTTAAGCACTGTGTATCAATGTGATTACAAAATCTTCCTGCCAAAGTGACTGCTTGTAAATGAAGAAAATTATTGTGACTATAAATAAATGTAATATCACTTGAACGAAATTTCAGCTTAGATTCGATGATCTACACACATATGAATAAATGAGCATAACACAAGCGTTCTCTATTGCAAACACACAAATCCATATCAGTTTTCTGGTACGCTGGCATTTGCAGGATAAACAGCATCGTTATTTTGGTATATTTGTGGCCACTCTTCGTAGTGGACCATTTCCGGCTGATAGAAGTAGTTTGGCGATACGGCATCTTGTTGACCGTAACCGTACCAGGCATGGTCGTATTGTTGTGTCCATGGGGTTAGTTGTTGACAACCGGGTAGATAGCCGGGATAAACCATTGGCGCAGTTGCAGATGGAAGAGCGGGCACTGAAAATGATTATTGACTTCAATAATAATTCATATTCAGGCAGCTGGGCATCCATTTATGCATAATGATTTGTTTCACTTCAATTTAGAGTCATATTATCATACATCCACGACAGTACGAAGTCCAAAAACCAAGTTCCAAAAACCAAGTATAAAGCGACTTTTATTTTCAGTAGTTGAACAATCAGTAAGACATTTGGTTTCAGCTAGTACTGCTTTGTTTACTTTGAAAAAAGGAATTTCTTACTTTTGAGTTTTGGGAAAATGAGCTCAAAGAGGTCTTTATTTGAGTTTTAGACAGAAACATATTGATAGGCTCTCACTAGAACATTTTTGCACATCACGCAATTCCGAATTATTCTACAATCAGTTTCGCCAACGAAATTTTGGTGAGTTTAAGTTGTTATTTACACCGATAGATAATTAGCTATAAATGAAATTTATCTGCCCATCATTTTCGAGAGTATAAGAAAATCGAGTTAGTTACAACTACAAGAAATATTTGGAAAAGGATTGTCGCTTAGATTTTCATTCCTGCAGCGAAACGTATACAGATCAATTTTCTGGCACTGGTCGTTATAGGATTTACAGCAACATGTTTTGATATGCTAAAAATTGGTACGCTACCACATAACCATCGACTTTGAGGTAAAAGTTATCAAAAATTCGTCGAACTCACCCGTTGACGTCCCTGCTGTCATCGGATCCATTACCGTTTTTTCCATTGTGTACTCGGGCAAAGGTTGAGGATATTCGAACTGCAAAGAAAAAACTCGATGTGATTGGCACACTTTGTTTTTATGATTAAAAAAAAGCTTGAACTTCATAAACCGATGAGCTAATATATGCAGTTTTCAAAGAGGTCAGCTCGTCAGAGGAGATGTTTGCAACGATTAAGAACTCTTCAATAAAGTCCCGTTAATAGTGCTTCGTGCTCATCGAACAGGGACCAAATCATAAACAAACACGTTTGCTAGCCAATTACTTTCAAGTTTTATTTTATAATGTGAGCGATCGGTGAACTATTGCAAATCAACTTAATAAAGCAACCATTTGTTACTAGAAGCCCTTTGTCTATTCAGCATAAAATTTTCCGTAATCTCTTTTGCTTACGCAAGTTTTCACTAGTACCCGATTGAGTTAGATTTGTACATTTGGAGAGTAATCCCCAAAAAACCTTCAAGATGTGGCATTGCGGTAACATGACCAGCCACTACATCGCGCAGAAGCTCATCTTTCATCTTGTCAGAAAAACTTCATAAAGGGTGTTTTCCGTTCGTGTACAATTGCCCAAACCGCTAGTCGGAAGACTTTGGTGGAAAGCCGAATCGCTGTGGGAGCGAGTCCGTAAAACATAGCGCGAACGAGCTGTCACCACATTTCCTTCGCGCACTACCGTAATCGTGAGCGATTAGGCAATTGTTGTCCCGCGCTGCGATTGATGGCTGGCGCCGCTAATCCACCTTATCGAATTGATGAAGAGGTAAAGGAGTTAGGAATACATGGACAAATCTCCTACCGATGCGTAATCTGGGCTAGTCGATGTATGTTGTTTGTTCAAGGCATGTTTAACAACAGTATAAACACTTGGGAACAGTTGCGCATAACGTGAACCCGGATAGCTGGCCTCATTTTGGCGACTTTAAAGAAAATGTGTAGGATTGCCCAGAAAGTAGTTGAAGAAAATGTGTAGGTTGCTCAGGTTAGTAGTTCGCTTACGACAAGAGTAGAACATTACAGTAGTCCTACCTTGAACTACCGTATCACAGCTGAACCGAATGTGCAAAATGGCTTGCTAGGTTGTCAAAATAAGCTAAATTACTAGTAGATGACAAAGAGCCATGAATTTCTCGAAACAGCATCAGCAATTTACCGTAACCCTACAGTAATCCCATCGTATCATAGATGATATAATTGTGCAAAAAAATGGCTTGCAACATTGATTTTAGTAAACTGACCGAAACAAACTATTATATTAATTTTATTTTCATAATCTTTGACTTTAAAAAGCAATATTTCAATTACGACGACAGCATCACCAGTTAACAGTAGTTCTACCGTAATCCTCAGTAGCAGATGAATGCTGCAATATGTTTTGGGATTTTCAACAAATTGACTGAGATCACAAGTAGATTTTCGTTTACAAATTTCTCTATAATTTCCACAAGTTTTGACATCTAGGAGCTTGAAACAAGACTAGCAATAGTAGCTACCGTAGTCCTACCGTATTTCTACCTTAGCATATAGTAGAATAAGTGTGCGAAGAATTTGACTTATAATATTATGTCAATAAATTAAGATCAGTAACAAGTAGCTTTTCTATGCTCTTTCTGAAATTAACTTTACCCCTGATTTCTCCCATCACTCCTCACTTCTCCCTTTCGTGCCCCATTAACAAAAGCAACTTCCACATCTGTTGCCCTAGTCTCTATAGACGTCTGGTGCTTTTGCGAGACACAAGTGCATGACCATATGTGACCGAGAGTACACAACTGGCAGAAGCTCAAACTAATATGATATTCAAAAGTTACCTGGGTAAACTGTCCATACATGGGTCGTTTCCTGGCTTTGTAACCGCGAGGACGTCGCCTGAATGCACCTTCTTCTAGGAGGAATTCGCAGTTGTCTGATATCGTCCATTTATGGCCTTTGCGACCTCTGTAATGTGATAGTCGAAAATTTTGTTACAGAAAAGTCCTTCTACATGAGATTTACCTCTCCCCAGCCTCCTTCGGCAACTTCACAAAACAATCATTCAATGAGAGATTGTGCCTAATGGAGTTTCTCCAGCCCACATATTCGCCTCGAAAGAAGTCGAAGTGCTCTTGTAGAAACGTATAGATTTCCGCCAACGTAGCCCTTTTGTCCGGTCGCTTCTAGAATAAGAAATTTGTTGGTTTAAGCTCTAAAATTTAACAGAAGTGCAAAAAATCTACCTGTATTGCCATAGCGATCAAAGCTATATAGCTATAAGGTGGTTTTTCCTGTCTTTTCGTACGACTTTTGCGATTTTTCTTTGTCGATGACATCTGCAGAAGATTTTCTACTTGCTAATTTCAAAAAAGTGCATCGATTCACCTCTTCTTCCTCGGTCTCTTCATTCTTAATTGTTGCCAATGGTTCCAGAGAGCAAGCCAACGATTGGAAGGAGTTGCTAAAATTCTCCACTGTTGGTAAAATGAGGGTTTCTTATGCAGCAAGCAGGTATAATATCTACTCACGAACACATACGTACATAGTTGAAAACTTTGCCAGTTGGAAATGAATTTCGTTTTCGATATTTACTACTTCTCAAAAAATGAAACTTCATAAATTTTCGCACGATGGTAAGTATGAGCTGAAATGTTCAGACGAATAATTTTGATGTGGATATACTCTCAATTTTTAAATGATGACCTTTGAACACTTTTATAACGAGTAAATTCAATTGGCTGGCTTTTGCCCAGCAATCTCGAATATTTTTTACTGATTTTGAGGCTACTAGAGACTAGGAAACTATCACTCGAAAGCCCTTTGATTTGACTTTTTCTTCTTCTAGTCAAAGCTATCCTCAAATGCATGAATCTGAGAGTGTTGCAATGATCTTGAGAAAGTATGACTGGTACAATATATAATAATATGAATGTTAGAATGAAACTAATCCTCAAACTAACTTATTTCACGCAACATGAAAATTCAAGTATTCGCTGAATAAAAATCTCTGCCTTGTAGGCATCCAAAATGACTATAATAAGGAACCATGACTAAGTTCTAGCTCAGAATAATCAAAATAATTAAAGACACGAACACTAGAAAACTATGTATCTTGGTTTTGTCAAAATGCTACACATAGTATTCATAGGGTGAGTCAAATGAGCCCTTAAATGAACCTGCCAAAATCCGAGAATCAAACCTTTCTACAAATTTGTCTTTAGAAAAATAAATTGCGAGTTTTTGGTCAAGATACGCATTATGATGCCAAAAAATGGGTCACAAGTCAGGTAAGTGGTAAACGAGAGCTACATTTCTCCCATTTGTATGGGCCAATACGGTTATCCAAATGCTATTTCATTCTGATTGCAATGCTTTTCGGAATCCCGAAGTACTTGATTCAATAATTCAACGTTATAGCATGCATGAGATCTGCTAGTTGTAAGATCAAAACACAACCACGAAAGGTTCAACACTAATGGAGTCGTGAGCAGAAATCTACTATGGCTAAATAATAAAGATTGTGAGAATGATCGACGATTGCCAAAGAAGACACTCACATACACTAAACAAATCGCACCATACACCCACAAACTCGCCTATTATACACGAAGTTTAATAAACAAACGCATGTAAACTATTTAATTTGTGTTCGAACCGACATTTGTAAACTGTCGGCGGCTGCAATGGACAAAAGCTTCAAGCTTCACTAGAAAACTCCACAAAATTCCCACGGGGAATAGTTGATAAGGTCCTTACCTCTTTAAAGCAAGCAGTTGTGAATCCATTAGTGATGAGCTGGGGTGCTGCTGACTTATGGCCGCAAGTGGTGGGGGCCGGATCATTGGGCTACCGTAATCCACCGAGAGAGCGGTGGTGCAGTGGGGGCGATAGAGTACAGCGTGCGAGGAGACGCAGAGTACTGCGCGGTTGGGGATGAACTTTTCGTTTATATTCCGATGACGGGGGATTGCGTGACTGTTGTATAGTCGATGCCATTGGTTGTGGGATGGAAGTTGGTAATGAAGTATAGAAAACAATGACAGATAGGGTTGATCTCAATGGAAAAATGTGGGGGGGGGGGGGGGGAGAAGGAGGGGAGAAGGCTTGTAATCTCTGCCCTGATTCAGTTTTTCATGTTAAGTAAAATCAGTAAATTTACCTTAATGCATATACCCCTACTCTGTTAATTCTTTCATTTATTCAATTCATTCATTTATTTATTCACTCGTTTAATCATGCATTTATTCCATACCTTCTTTTTTTCATTCATTCATAGATTTCCTTTCTCTCTTCGTTTTTTTCTCCGTTTTTCTTTGTTTCATCCATTTCTCCATCGATTCAATCATCCATTCACTCATATACCCACTCAATCTTCCTTCCTTCTCTCTTTCTTGTTTTTTTTTCCATATGATTCACTCATTCATCCTTCATTTATGCGTCCATTCATTTTTCCTTTCTTCTGCTTCTCTCTCTTTGCCTTCACTCATTATTATTCATTCTTCCATTCATTCTCCTTCTCTCATTCGGTCACATATTCCTTCATACTCCTTCTCATACCCCGCTCAAGGGATGGAAGGAAATGGAGCTAGGCATTTTAAAAAAATGATTTTCAAAATAATCGATACATACTTACAATTTTACACATTACTCTTTCAATTTCTATAGATACGTTCCTATTACTCATTTATTCAGTTACTCATCCATTCATCTTTATTCGTTCTTCTTTCTTTCTTTCTTTCTCAAATCCAATTCTTTATTTAATCATCCATTTATAAATCATTCGCTCATTCATTCACTTTTCCATTCCTGAGTAGTTCTTGCGAATCTTGCCTCTCAATTTTTCAAGCCTTCACTCATTTTACACATTCATTTGGTCATTTACTCACCTTTTCTTTTTCTCCTCTTCATCACTCGCCTCTTTCTCCCTTTCTATTTTATCTCACATAACTTCGTTAAAGTACCTTTATCGCTCATTTCTTAGCTTCACAATCATTGATTTTTCGATTTGTGTGGCCGTTCCTACCCTTTTTCTCTCCTCCGCTTTCTTCTTTTTTCTCTCCCACTTTCCGGAAATGAACTGTTGACCGCAACTTGTCACTCAAACGCTGAAGGGTTTGCGATTAGTGGCGATCGGATTGCATTTATTGTATCGACGCCATCGGCAGAGCGATGGCGTAAGCGGCAACACCAGCCACTGAATGTGGGAGCGATTCCATTACATGCTAGGCGAAAGTCAAGTACTAGTAAGTGACGCCATCGGTAGCAGAAGAAACAGTTGGAACTGGTAGGACTTCTGTACGAAGGAATTTTTCCATGTGGCCTTCATATATCAAAATCACACATCCTTCAACAAACATCACCCTTACAAAGAGATCCGCTGAGAAGGCTCAAGAATGGCAATGGAATCCCAGAATTGACCATAAGAAGAAAAGTTCATCCACCCACTTTACATATTTTCACCTCATTTCTCTGGTTGGAGTAAGAAATACGGTGCACTATAACGAAAAGCAATAAAGACATTGAGCCAGCTGCTGACATGAGCAATGATTATCTTTAATTTTTTATACTGAAGGCGCGAGCCCTGCAATGAATACAAAAAAATCGAGGAGTTCTCAATTACAGTTTTGTATCGCGAGGTGTTTGAAGCCAGAAAAAATTGACTTAAATGCCTTGAATTTGGCACTTGCTAAGTTCAGATGAAATGTAGAAGCATTGTTCGTGCTTATGTTTTCAAAAGTAACTTTAAAAAATATAGAACGAAAAGGGCTGGAAGCGCACCAAAAGCGTTAGTGAGATCGAAGAGGTAGACACGGAAATAAACATTTGCTATTGGCAATAAACAATTATTGTGGTTGGTGGTCATAATTACATTTAATGTTGTCTGATGATCACTATTTGTCATTTTCTTACCTATGACTCGCTTTGAAATGTGATCGATCTCATTATGCTGATCTACTGTAGTTTTACATAAATACCATCTTTAAACATTTTCCATCTTTCTTTGTTTCCTCACTAAAAGCAAATCTTATAACTAAAATGAAATAGCTACCGTATCATACCGTAAGATAGTGATAGTGTCACCAGGTAATGGATACTTTTTCGTGAAACCCTATACCCGTTTACGTCAGTGATGAAGCATTGTTATTGGGTGTGAGTGACTGTCAGAGGAGTCATAAGTGGTATTAACTGCTGAAAGTATGGGTATTGATCGAATAATTGAATTTATACTTCGTCGGAATCAGTAAGAAAGTTCTGTCTATACTCAAAACCATTTCAGGAGCGTACGATTTTGTAGAAATCGATTTTTTTCGAGAATTTGTGAAAAGCTGTGCACTCCAGCAGTTGATTTCTGCGTAAAAAACTGGAGGAAAGCAAGCAAAAAAATTGTCGCAAAATTCAGGAGATTTTAATAATGTCTGCATTAATGGTAGTTTGTCATATGTATTAGAGTTTCTTCCCAACGAAAAGATGCGAGAAAATCTGCCCCCAATCGCATGCTTTTCTAAGCTATTCCTTGACCATCCCCCCATCTCCCTCCCCTCTACCCCTCCATCTAATCTCACATACAACCAAGCTTCTATCTTTTTTTTTGAAGTCCTACGCTGTCGCGTGCTCGATGCCGTCTGCCTGCTGAGCCATGCGCCGTGCTACCGTAATCCTCGCGCCAGCATCACTCACCAGCAGACCTTCATAATCCTCTCTTCTCTAACATAAACGAACGGCAATGTGACGCTAATGGGGTCATAACAGATAGCGCGGCTGGTCGAAAAGACATCGCAGATGAAGAGATAAAGAAGTTGGATAAAGGGTATGATTACGGTAGTGGAAATATAACGAGAAGTCGAAAATGATAGTATTGATTTGTGTATTTATTGTTTTGGATTGGGACTTTTTTCGATTATGGATTAAATTTACCATTAGAGCATTTACTTTGCTAAAACATCCATTTGTACTCTCACGACAAACTATTTTTAACCGCAGTGACTCTGTCACTGTTCAGTGTGAATATTTCCGACGACGGTCTAGCAAATCTTGCACTTTCTTGAGTAGTTTGGCTACGTTTTTAGCGACAGTTTCAAAACTAACTCTAAGAAAAACTTTCTAGTTCTAGAGCATTCCTATCTTGGCTTGCAGCTCAAACACTTATCTGTCTAGCCTTCTTCACAGCGCAGGCGAAGGTGTAGACTGATAATACCGCAGAGGTTTCACATAATCTTCCAATTTTCTCGAATTCAACATTCGAAGTCGAGAGAGCATTTGTTCTTGGTTTTTATCCAGCTCAAAGGCCGATTTTTTATACTTTAATGAATAGAGGTGAGCTGTTGCCTTTTGCAAGTCGTCAATGCAAGTCGAATCTTATGAATCATAGTTACAACTTTATACGATTTGATTTATACCAGATTCTTACAACTAGCATTTTTTCCAAAGCTAAATAAACCGAGCAAACCTTCAATTTGCACTGC